TTTGGAGCAATAGCACAGTGGTAGGGCATTTGCCTTGCGCACAGTCGGCCCGGCCAAGCCGGGTTCGATTTCTCCTCCCCTCTCAGAGAGACTGGCAAGCTACTGAGAGTATCTTGCCCACATATATTCAATATGCCAAACACAGTAACAACAAGTCTCAAAATGGAGACGCTACTGGGTCCGCTCAAGCAAATCGATGAACAACAGGAGGACGGTGTTTTGTAATTTATGGTACTTTAAAAAAATAAAATTTTGGAAAGAAAAAACTAAAAAAAATTAAAAACTAAAAAAAATGTTGTTCCAAATTGGAAAATAAACATTTTATTTCTAAGAAAAAAACAAGAGTTCCTACATAATAAAAGCATCTCCTGTAATATTTGTCTGTAAAATTGCTCTTCTAGATAGAATATGGGAAACTGTTGAATTTTAGTACCTCTAATTCCAAATGGCATCCTGAAATCCCTCAGTTTATAAGAAATTAATAGCATTCTAAAATCTTGAAAGTATATTTAAATATAAGTTTTGTCAACACCTTAAGAATCTTCACAGAAAACTCTCTACTATTCTTAGCACACACTTCACTTCATGATAATTACTGGATTACAAGTCTATATCTCTCAATGGGATGTTATATTTATTAGGGCAAAAACCAAGAATAGTCCATTATGTGAAGAAAGTAATAAAGCTTTTTTAAAAAATGGTTGTTTCTTGAATTCCTTACCCACTGAGGCAATCAGATAACAGTTTCTCTTTGATTTCCACTTTCTGAATGAGACTGCCATATTGTTTGTCTATACAATTACTAACAGTAATGCCCTGGGATATTCAAATGGCTTTGGAACTTTTCTTCTAGAAATTATTTCTTTTAGAGGAGCAAATTCCTCTTAGATTAAGGAAATAGCTTCCAGTAAAATTAAGTTTTTAGCTAGCCAAGTCTTAAAGTGAATTACTTTAATCTTTTACTCAAATTGCTTTTTAAAATAGTTTACGTATAGATTATAGTGTCCTGGGTCATACTGTCCACCCTAAGATTCATATAAACATATAGGTCATGAGGTAGTAAAGCAATAGTGAACTCTATTTCCCCTCTGCTTCAAAACATTTGCTGTTCACCAAAAATGCTTTTTCAGTGGGACCTCTAATCCTCTGATTCTATCAAATTTTTCTCTTCATCTTACCTCTCTTGTTAAATCCCATGGTTCATTATTATAATTTTATTATATAGATCAAAGTTGCCCTCAACTCTCCGTTATCCTTAACAAGCAATATATTCGAAATTTAGTTGAATACAGGGGTTTACCTTCTTAGTCCTGTCCTCAAGCATCTTTAAGTGGAGAAAAAAATAACCCCATTTTTTTCTCTTTTTATTCTTCTGAAACTGAAAGTGGGCCCTCTCCGCATCAAGGCAACAATTTTCCATTTCTCTATTGAATTCATTCTCTGATTCTCTGAGTTGAGTAATTCACACCGTACTCTGCCTCAAGTAGCAACACAGCTTTAATTTTTCTCATGCATAGATGATATCCTTCCCTCTATTCAATGGGGTAATGGAGGCAATTAGAAGATTTTATGTACATTTTATCCACCCAAAAATCTGAAAATTTACTTTTCTCCAAGATAACTTCTTCCATCCTGTTTAAATTTCTATACTGGTGCACTGAATCCTATTTCCTCTCCCCTGTTCAAGACTTTCTCCAGAAATTTCTCCTATTTCACCCAATTACAGCCTTGAGACAGCAGAATCTTCGTTGAAAAAGTCAGTCAGATAATGTTCACTCTCCTGCTCAAAAGTTTATAAGGGCTTTCCAGGACACATAGAATGAAATAAGCAGTAACATTCCTTATGAGGGACCTGAGAGATAGTACAGGGATTGAGGGTTTGCCCTTGGCATTGCTTATAGACACCTGAGCACTGCCAGGAGTAACCACTGAGCAAAAAGCCCTAAGTAAGCCCTGAGCATTGATGGATGTGGTAAAAAAAATCTTTATGATGGATTGACTCTTCTTAGTTGCCTATTGCTTTTCCCAGTTCTCTATTGTCACTCTCTAATTCTCACTTGCTTTGTTTCAGTCACTGAGGCCTCAATGAAGTTCCATCAACACACATTTTAAAGCAAATGTACTCAATGCCAACCTATAAATAGTGGTCTTAGCCTAAATATTCATGTGTTAAACTTCTTTTTTCATTAATCCCTCTACTTAAATGTCAGCTCCGAGAATATGCTATCTAAAATTATAACTTTCAGGGTCTTAGGATAATTTAATTGGTAAAGCATCTGCCTTGAATTTTGGTCACCAGCACTGTCCTATATGCTAACTACAATCCCAGTAGCACTATCATTTGGACTATTGGTGCCAAAACAGATCACATTATTTCTGGAGCACTACAATCTTTTGTGTGTAAGCAATACAAGTGGACATGTTGACTCCAGGCAAGCATAATAACCAAAGGAATGCAAGAATCAAAACAAAGTACTTGACCCCTAATCATAACAATAGCAACAATCAAAAGAAGATAAGGATAGTGAAGTGGAAGAAAGGAAAGGAGAAAAGAAGGAGGGAAAGAGGAGAAATTTAAAAGTTATATAACAATTTTCAATCTATACCTGATATAACTTTATTCATTATATTCATCACTGCTTCATATATGTATGCATTGTCTATTTCCAACTTTATTATAATCCCATGAGTGAAAGGGTTATCCCTTTTAATCACTACAGTATTATTAGGACATAGAATAGTAAACTATGCATAAAAGCTCTAAATTTGTGCTAAGTACACAACTTAAAGGAAAATTTATAATCAAACCAAGCAGGATAAACTATAAATAATATCAAGATTTTTAAAGATTCTTCTCTTTTAGATTTTAGCTTTCTCCTCTTCTCCAAAGGCAATTATCCTTAAATTTGAACTATTTCCTTACCTTCTACAATGATTTTATTACAAATGAAAACTAAGTATCTTCATAAAAATTAAATAACATCATAAAGATAAAGCAAATGTCAAAGGCAACAGAATCAGAGAACTGGTCTACAGAACTGATATTACCATTGAGAAGGGTGGCAGGTTAGTGTTTGAGAGAAGGACCCTACCACAATAGTGGAGCGAAATGTGGAAGGAGTGTGGTGAAAGAATGTTCATTGTAAACACAAAACTCTATCACTGGCAATATTGTAAATCACCATGACTAAAAGTAAAGAATTAAATGACTATTATTCTATATTTGTATTTTCATTAATTGTTTTTAAGATTCAGCTCTGTATGATGATGCTATTTTAATTCACGATCCCTCACGTTTGTACTTTATTCCAATATAGGAATATATTCAAATTCACAATATAGGAATATATTCAAATACACTTCTACATTATTACTTATGGGCATTCAGACCGTTTTCAGGTTGATGTGAAATTTTTTTAAGTTGCTATGAATATTGTTTTATGTACCTTTCCATTACTATTAGCCTTGGAACCATTCTGTCTTTTAGAAGACTTTCTACTTCTATGTTTAATCAATTTTGCATTGATCTTGCAATTACTTTGAGGGAAATCTTGCTGTCTTCATCCCAGCATTCTTACTCAGCAGTTTACCATAATCCCTCGAAAATTTACTGACATTGCCTTAATTAATTTTGAGAATTTCTGATGATAACCCCACAATTCCAATTGTCTCTGAGGAGCCTTCTTATCTAAAAACCTCTCCCACCCTCCATCCTTCTTTCTCCCACATATTCTCACCATTCTACCCCTCCTCCCAGGTTTCTCCCCCATCCCCTATATTTTGGTGAGATATTTAAAATATTTTGAGAGTTCTATGACAGAATAATTTTTCATAAAATTATGTTTATATTTTACCTTAAATGATATCCCCCCCACCCAGGTCTCATATTAGGTTTGCTTTACCACAAAGACACTTTCCCTTCCCACCTTCATCTTAAATGGAATTAACTCCAAATTAATATATGACTCTCTAATGGAAAAAGAAAAAAGATTGCACTTCTATCTCAAGTGGTTGAAACAATTACTCATGACAATACCTACTTCAGATTGACCAGTTGATTTCAGCGTTGATTACATGAGGGGCTAGTTTACTCTTCTTAGTAAGAAAGTGTGTCGGATTTAAGAATAAAAGTACAGGAAACTAGGTTTGATTTGCATGTCAGAAAATAAAAATTTTTATGCACATAAAAAAGCACGTCCAGTGAAATATTTGGGATCTATTCATACCAAGTTTTTGTTGTTGATTTTTGGGGGCTTTTTGGCACCACATCAGGCAGCACTCAGGGATTGTTCCTGACTGTGCTAACAGATCACTCCTATCAGAGCTGGGGTACACTATGAGGGTGTAGGGATTCAAACCCAGATCAGGCATGTGCAAGGCAAGCACCCTGCCAAGATCTGTTCCCTGAAAGTATTCATTTTATCTCAATGAAAACACGAAGCACCTGTCAACTCTGCTATTTCTATCAGTCTGTTCTTTCAAGGTTACCTTGAGCCATTTGGTTTGCTGAAGGGACTTCTTGTATGCCCGGGACACAGTGAGTGAGAATTCACTAGCCTTGGAGCCCTTAGATACTTTTTTTTCATTTTCTGCCCATTTCTTAAAATCAGAAGGCACATTATCTTCAAATGGAACACCAAGGGACTCAAGAAAACTGTTCTAGCTAAGACGGATCCCTTTTGCTACGGCTACTCCAATAAAAAAGCTTTTAGAAGCGCACTATGTTTCTATTTTCAAATGGGAACAATGTAAGACAGTGGTAGCAACAGGCCTCGTGGGTTGAAACAATTCAAGCTCTCGCGAGACTTTGGATGGAGGGACCTTTGCACCTCACCGGTGACTGAACTGGTTCCGGCTGATCTCAGTCTCGCGGGATTTTGCCCCTCTGGCTTTGTGAAGGCACCGGAACTGGGCTGTTTCTTGCGCAGTCGCAGTAGAGGCAAGTGGAAGGAGACCTCTCGTTCTACTGGCTCGGTCCGGCAGGCCGTGGGCTGGTTCAAATGTCTGATAACATCAGCGGTGCGTCTGGCCTCCCAGACAGAGCGGCCCGAAACCTGTCTGAAAGCTCCGAGGGGCAGGCTGGAGCTGAGGTGAGGAGGGAGAACCCAAATGGCGAAGCGAGCCGGAGCGAGACCAGTAATGGCGGCAATGGCGCTCCAGCCAGCACCCAGCAGCAAGGCCCAGGCGGAGAACGGTCAGCCCCACGCCGGGATCGCACGGTGCAGGCTCCGTTGAGAGACCACGACTACGATGACAGCCCATCTCATTACAACATCAGGGGCCAAGAGTCTGATGACGCAGCAGAAGGTGGTGCGCGGTTTCGGGTACGTAGGCCGAACAGTGACATGCGGCGGTCAGAGGAGGATGTAGCCCTGGAGGCGTGGGTGGAGTCTGAGGTTTCTCCCCTCCCCCGACCTCGCTGGCGAGTCATTGCTGCCCTCCGTGATAGGCAGCTGGGCTCCAGGCCCTGCTTTGTCTCCGAGGCCTGTGGGGCCCGAGCTCTTGTGCAGCGTTTCCAGCTGCACAGTGAGCTGCAAGGCCATCATGGTTGCGTCAATTCGGTGCAGTTTAATGAGAGCGGCACCTGGCTGTTGAGCGGCAGCGATGATCAGAGAGTGATCATTTGGGACTGGGTGCACCAGCGGCCCCTACTAAACTTTGAAAGTGGCCTTCGCAGTAATGTCTATCATGCCACGTTTCTCTCCAATTGTGGCGACTCTGCACTGGCCATCTGTGGCCGCGATGGGCAAATTCGGGTGGTAGAGCTGGGTTCCACCCCATCCTGCCAAAATAACAAACGCGTGGCCCAGCACCGTGGAGCGGCTCACAAGATGGCTCCAGTGCCATCCTGCCCATACAGGTTTCTCACGTCTGGTGAAGATGGCGCTGTCTTTGATATCGATCTCCGGCGTGAGCAGCCTGTTTCCAAAGTGGTCGTGACAAAGGAGAATGAGAATAAAGTAGGGCTCTATACGATCTCTGTGAATCCTGCCAATATTCACCAGTTTGCAGTGGCCGGGAAAGATCAGTTTGTTAGAATCTATGACCAGAGGAAAATTGATGTGACTGTGAATAATGGTGTATTTAAGAAATTCTGTCCTCAGCACTTGATCATGAGTGATTTGCTACCAAACATCACCAGCGTGGTGTACAGCCATGATGGCAGCGAGCTCCTGGCCAGTTACAACGATGAAGATATTTATCTCTTCGATCTTTCCAGCTGCAATGGAACCCAGTACGTGAGGCGATACAAAGGTCATAGAAATACTGCCTCAGTTAAAGGTGTCAATTTCTATGGTCCCAGAAGTCAGTTTATCCTGAGTGGAAGTGATTGTGGACATATATTTTTCTGGGATAAGTCGTCTAGCCAGGTTGTTCAGTGTATGGAGGGGGACCAGGAAGGTACCATCAACTGCCTTGATCCCCACCCTCACCTACCTATAATAGCGACCTGTGGTCTAGACTATGAAGCCAAGATCTGGGCACCCTCCAGCGCAGATACCACCGATCCTGATTGGATAAAGTCACTGATGAAAAGGAATAAGCAAGAAAGAAATGAAGATAGCAATCAACACACTGGTCTTTTTAACAACAGCACGGTTTGGTTCCTGATGAGTCACTTGACACCCAGATATTTTCGTCTTGGTGGTAATCGTCAGGGAGAAGTTTATGGAGCTCAAGTTGGAAGTTCAGATTCTGAGGAATCCTCCAGTACATCTGATACATCTGAAGAAGCTCAAGATCCTACACCATGCCTGCCATCTTAAAAAGTGCAAGAAGCTGTAGTTTGGACTCTAAATGAAAAAATGTTACTATAAATTTGCCTTTTAGCTTCTATTTTCACAAAGGAAGAAAAAATACCTTCATTTGGCTTCCTCTGCCTCTCTTACCTTTTCATTCTTTTACTCTTACCTTAGTATCTTTTATATCTGTCTTTTTCTCTCTTTTGGTCCAACCCTAAAGACTGCTAATGCTGGTTTAAAAAAAAATTGTCTTATTGTGAAGCTAAAAGTGATAACCCTTTATTCTTGTCTTTAACAATTATAAAATACTCTGACATGAAAATTTCAAAATGTGTTTATCCTTGAAGTAAGGGCAGATTTTGTTCATTAAATGCTGACACTTGACACACCTACAAACAGACCTTTCTCTCTCTCTTTCTCTCTCTTTCTCTCACACACACACACTCACACACATACACACATACACCCATACACAATTTTTACCAACAAAGGGAAAAGTGCATAGGTAAATGAATAATAAGATCTATCCTTCCAGAATAACTTGTGATTGTCTACAGTTTCTGATGTATGTATTAATAGTAACTGCAATTGTCTTGAAGTTATGTGGCTGGGAGACAACTCCCAAAGGATAAATATATAAAATATGTTTAACCAAGAATATAGGAATAATAGTTAATAGTTATAATAGTTAATAATAGTTCACATTTGTGAACTAACCAAGTAACTATTTAAATGGAGCTGCTTATACTTAAAACTTGTTTGTATTGTTGGAAGAATTTGCTGTGTTTTTGATATTGCACTTGATATGCTTGTGTTGCTTAAAAATTTCAAGAATTCTGTTGGAGCTTTAGTATATCAGGTAGGGCACTTGCCTTGAATGCAGCCAACCCAAGTTCAATTCCCAGTACCCTATATGGTCCCTTTAGCATTGCCAGGAGGGGTTCCTGAGCACAGCCATGTGTGGCCCAAAATCTCCACAAAAAAAGTTTTTTTAACATTGGTTTAAGAGGTTGAATTTCTTTGAAAAATGTCTTAAACTTTAATGCAAATTTTGAGTCATAGAGATACAATTACTATTCAATAATACTGACTTCTGTTTTATATCTTATTTGTGTAAGTGAATCCAAAAGGTATCCCTTTCTCCAACAGTGTTGTAAAATACAATACACTGTTATTTGCATGTATTTGTTCAGAAGGATGTAATAAAGTACTCTGTGACTCAAGAAGTTCTGTGATTGTGCTCCTTATTTAATTTTTTAGAATTAAATTAAATTCTAAAAATTAAATTGTATTCTACCTTAAAGCCTATTTAATTTCATATATTCATATATATTTTCTATTATATAGAGAGATCTTTATAATTGCTTTATCCTCTTCCCTTTGTTATTGTTCATTTTTTTTTGTGATGTCCAGGTATTACATACTTGTGTTGCTTGTTGAGGTCACACATTCATTTACACTAAGTGTAGCTTCCCCACAAGTATATGAATGAACCCTATAATTGCAGAAGAACTGGGAGCACAGGATGGGGAGAAGTGGAGTACTTCAGAGAGGGCTATAGGGAGATTATCTCTGAAGGGTGTTAGGGGAGCACATTTGGTTGTGGTGCTTGCACACTTCTTATGTGGCTCTGGTAGTCCTGGCAGTGCTGCCAGGATCACACTCAGATGTGTGGGATGATGCTAGTGATAGACCTTGAGCCTGATGCCTGCAAGGCACTCTACCATGGAGTCACAATGCCAGGCCCAATATTTATGTTAAGTAAACTTGTAATCTGAAATTCAAAAATCAAGAATGAATCAGGTGTCTAGTGATCTTGTCTGTCACTTCTTGGTTAGAAAAATGTTGATTGTATAGGATTGTGGAATACAGCATAGTAATAGTCTATATCCTGTCCTGTCCTGTCCTCCTGTTATTTATTGATTTTGCTTGAACGGGCACCAGTAACATCTCACAACAAATTGTGAGACTTGTTACTATTTTTCACATATCGAATACATCACGGGTAGCTTGCCAGGCTTTTCCATGCGGGCAAGATACTCTTGGTAGCTTGTCAGGCTCTCCGAGAGGGGTGGAGGAATTGGACCCGAATCAGCTGTGTGCAAGGCAAATGCCTTACACACTGTGCTATTTCTCCAGCCCAACAGTCTATATAGGATTGTGGAATGCTGCATAGTAATAGTCTATATTATCAGAGTTTGTTTTTTAAGCTAGAGTATTCTGCCTGCATGTCAGAGCCTGGCAAGCTCCCCGTGGCATATTAAATATGCCAAACACAGTAATAATAATTGGTCTCATTCCCCTGATCCTGAAAGAGACTCCAATGCATCACTGTTGGGAAGGACGAGTAAAGAGAGGTTGCTAAAATGTTAGGGCTAGGATAAATGGAGATGTTACTGGCACCTACTCGAGCAAATCGATGAATGTGATAGTGATGATAATGATCACGATCATCCTGTTGTTCATCAATTACCTCAAGCAGGCCCCAGTAACGTCTCCTTAGTCCTAGCCCTGAGATTTTAAAAAGTGCCATATTCAAGGCTCTTACAGGGTTAGGAGAATGAGACATATCATTGTTACTGGTATTTGGCATATTGGGTATGCCACAGGAAGTTTGCTAGACTCTACCGTGTGGGCAGGTAACATTCGGTAGCCTGCCAGGTTGTCCAAAGAAAGGACAAGATAATAAGAAGTCACACGGCCGCAAACACTGCCGTGTGCTTCTAGCAGCTGGGTTTTATAGTCTCTGGCCGTTGATGGGATTACACGGCGCGGGGGGCGGGGGGCGGGGGCAGTTGGTGGGTGTGACCCCTAACTACAGGAAGATGGAGGATCTGGGTGGAGGATGCTCGGCCCCAATCTGAGCAGGCTTGGAGGTCTCACCCCGGGACCCGCATGCCTTTGGTCCTCTTCCAGTACCTTCATGCGTGTGGAGAGTGAGTGGTCTCAGCGTGGCGGTGGCTGGTTGAGGAGGTCTTTGGCTGCTGGAGCACTGATCTGGGCCAGGAGGGAAACTCAACCCGGCCCCCTCCAAGGGACCCTGACAAGGACAGCCAGGCGCAGGGGCTGGAGACTCTGCACTGTTCTCTTCTGGGAGCTAGGTTTTATAGTCTCTGGGTCTTGGCTGTTGATGGGATTACATGGCGCGGGGGGAGGTGGGGGTTCAGTTGGTGGGAGTGACCCCTGCCTACAGGAAGATGGAGGATCTGGGTGGAGGATGCTCAGCCCTAATCCAAGCAGGCTTGGAGATCTCACCCTGGGACCCTTATGCCTATGTTCCTCTGCCGGTACCTTCATGCGTGTGGAGAGTGGTCTCAGCATGGTGGCGGCTGGTTCTGGAGGTCTTCGACTGCCAGAGCTCTGCTCAGGGTGGGGAGGGAAACTCAACCCGCCCCCGCCCTCCAAGGAACCCTGATAAGGACAGCCAGGCATGGGGGCAGGAGACTCGGAGCTGTTCTCTTCTGGGAGCTGGGTTTTATAGTCTCTGGGTCTTGGCCATTGATCAGATTACAGGGTGCAGGGGAGGGGGGGCAATTTGTGGGTGTGACCCCTACCTACTGTAAGATGGAGCATCTGGGTGGAGGATGCTCAGCCCTGATCCAAGCAGGCTTGGAGATCTCAAACCCAGGACCCGCATGCCTGTTTTCCTCTCCTGGTACCTTCTTGCGTGTAGAGTGGTCTCAGCATAGTGGTGGCAGGTTTTGGAGATCTTTGGCTGCCGGAACTCTGATATGGGCCGGAAGGGAAACTCAACACCCGCCCCCCAAGGTTCCCCCGGCTAGGACAGCCAGGTGCAGGGTCAGGAAACTCTGTGCTATTCTCTTCCGGGAGCTAGGTTTTATAGTCTCTGGGTCTTGGCCGTTGATGGGATTACATGGCGCGGGGGGGGGGGGGGGGGGGGTTTGTGGGTGTGACCCCTGCCTACAGGAACATTGAAGATCTGGGTGGAGGATGCTCAGCCCCAATCCGAGCAGACTTGGAGATCTCAGCCTGGGACCTGCATGCCTTTGGTCCTCTGCCAGTACCTTCATGCATGTGGAGAGTGTTCTCAGCATGGTGGTGGCTGATTCTGGAGGTCTTTGGCTGCCGGAGCTCTGATCTGGGCCGGGAGGGAAACTCAACCCAGCCCCCTCCAAGGGGCCCTGGCGAGGACAGTCAGGCGCAGGGGCCGAAGACTCTGTGCTGTTCTCTTCCAGGAGCTAGGTTTTATAGTCTCTGGGTCTTGGCCGTTGATGGGATTACACGGCGCGGGGGGAGGTGGGGGTTCAGTTGGTGGGGGTGACCCCTGCCTACAGGAAGATGGAGGATCTGGGTGGAGGATGCTCAGCCCCAATCCGAGCAGGCTCGGTGATCTCACCCTGGGACCCGCATGACTTTGTTCCTCTGCTGGTAGTTTCATGCATTTGGAGAGTGGTCTCAGCATGGTGGTGGCTGGTTCTTGAGGTCTTTGGCTGCCGGAGCTCTGCTTGGGGTGGGGAAACTCAACCCACCCCCCTCCAATGGGCTCCAGCGAGGGCAGCCAGGCGCGGGGGCCTGGCTGATAGTGATAGTGATTTAATTTTTAATATTGGGCTATATTTTTCAGTATTGGGGATCAAACTTGGCTTCATGCATGAAAGACATTAGCTTTACTGTGTGTTCAGTAAATATTTTGTGCTCTCACATTATGTGCATTCAGTGGCCATGAGCCACTTCCCTCACCCTGGATGACCAATGGCAATGGGTGGATAAAGGAGTAAACAAGGGACAGGCTGATTGGTGATCAGTTGCAATTTATTCCAATCTAGTCAGCCTCTGCCTCCTTCCAGTCTCACCTACTCCCATATTTATACTTCCTGTGCCTACTCTCACAGCCTTAGTGATAGAGAAAATCATGAAGGGTTGGGGGTAGCAATTAGACTTAGGTGAGGTTATACTGTCAGCAGATGTAAAGTGCTTCCCTCAGGGGAAGGTTCTTCTAGGACAAATTCTCTTCCAGCAAAGTGATCCACCCAAGGGCAAAATACCATCTAGAGAAGTATTTC